ACTATTTATAGGATTTTTGAGAATTTTGTGAAATCATCTATGCAAATTACATATATTGCCTGGGATATAATGGTCAAATAATCTTAATTGGTATTAATACCAATTAATAACAACTAGAAAAGAATATTTAAAGTTAAACCTTTCCTCAAAATATATTTTTTTACTATCGCTATCAGTTTATTTTTATTTTCACCAATTCATTGGCCAATTTGTTGCCCAAAGATGTCCTATAGACAGTCAAAGAAATGTTCAACATCACTTATTTTATGAGATATACAAATAAAGTAAAATAAAGTAAACCACACTGAGATATCACCTCACCCCTGTGAGAATGGCACATATGAAAAAGAACAGAATTAACAAATGTTTGGAAAGTTGCAGTGAAAAAGGAACTCTCATCCACTGTTGGTAGGAATGCAAGCTGGTATAGTCCCTATGAAAGACAGTATAGAAATTTCTCAAGAAAATAAAAGTGGAAATTCTATTTGACCCAGGAATACCACTACTAGGTATTTATCCAAACAACAAGAAAAATCAAGTTCAAAAATAACTACGAACACTTATGTACATAGCAGCACTATTTACAATTATACCAAACCATGGACCCAACCCAAGGGATCTTCAAAAGATGAATGGATAGAGAAATTCTAGAGCATATATTCAATGGAATATTACACAGCTGTGAAAAATGGTGAAACAGTGGCATTTGGGACAAAATGAACAGATCTTGAAGTGATTATGCTGAGTGAGATAATAGTGTGAAAGATTTTAGATGGTCTCACTCATCTGCAGACCATAAATACCAAAAAAACAATCACATGCAAACAACAGAAGAAACAAAAATTTGAACTTGGCAAAAAGAAGATAATGGTTCCCAGAGGGAATAGGAAGAAGGATAAAGGAGATGGGGAGGGAGGCAGATGGGGTATCGGTGGCTTGGTGGAAGGAATTAAAAAATAAATAATCTACCTCTAAAAGAAAAAATGAAACAATCTCCTCAATTTATTCTTAAATAAACAAGATCACAGTGAGTTCTTATAATGCATGGACTTTTTTTTGTCAGTCATCTCTCAAAAGATTTGGTCAGATTTTTATTCCCTCCCTGTTCATAGTGAGGCTGTTTTTGAAAGTTTGTAGAAAGTAACACACCACAGATGGACAGAAAATATGAAAATCAACCCAAATATATTGCCACTTTTTCTAAACCTGGTTTTCACACTCCCTGTACAGGGTGAGAACAGCCTACAAACACAGCACTCCAAACAGCCACCCGCCCTACAATTCACACCATAAAAATGGAATTCATAAAAATCATGTTTTTTTAACGATTCCTTGAGCTCCAACAATGTCTTAGCATATATCCCTCAAACTAAGTACCTCAGGGACTACTACAAATGGAAACAATCTAGAAAACATGAGCTCTCACTTGTAAATTCTTCACCCCAATAAGCAAATGATAAGAGCTCCTGCTTGTCACACTCCAGGTGGCCAGAGTAGTTTAGGCATAAGCAGGTCTTTAGAAGGGACTTTGAGAACATGGGTAAAACCATAAAATTCCAGAACAGAACGGAGATTTCATCTTCCATTTGTGAAGACCATGATTAGAGAAAAAAATTTTCTTGCCCATAGGTTTATCATCAATAGGAGCAAAGCTAGGACAAAAGATAGTCAACATCTCATACAGAACCATAGAGACCCAGATTCTGGTCCCCCTGCATGCAATACTAGCATGATTTAGTTTTCAGTCTAGAGAAGATACTGTTATTGTTGCCATCATATAGGAAAGCACACTCCTCTAGTCTCAATCCTTCAGCACGTGATTTAATATAAATTGGTCTTCTACCTGCCTCATGAGATGCCTGGCGACTGAACTTGTATATCCAATTCTCCTGGACATGATTGTTTGAGGGATAAGCATGTAACATAACTAGAAAAAATAAAATTAAAAGGTTATATATGTCGGAACCTCTGGAAAAGGAACCATTTTCATTCCTGCTGGATTTGAGGTGTGAGGTTGTAAGTTTGGGAGTTACAATCTTGCTACAACTAAAAGCATCAGAAGGAGCCCATTCCAAGGAAGCAAGATACAGAAGTGATCTTGACATCATTTTTCCCTTGAATCAACCTGTGCTTATATTTAGCACTTAGCAAACAGTATTTTGATGGTGAGAGTTAAATTGGTTTTGTTGGGTTTCCTGTCACTTACAATTGAAATACAGTATTCACAAACAGTATCCAATAGTCTGACCCTTTTCCTTTCCTTCTTCCTGCGTTGGCTCTAAATGTCCAAGGAATACACATAAATCAATGTGACCAGGACATGCTGGTTATAGTGAATAACCACAAAGAGTTTCTCATCACATCACATTGATTCTGAAGTTTTACAGCCCACGGTCTACAGTTTGGCCATAATTATTGCAGTATTGTTATCTATGCTAAGCAACTGAAAATAAATGCTAACTAGCCTTTCTAATTTTAGTGTTACTCATGTTTTACTAATTTGAAGACACCCGCTTGTACACTAGCTAACTCATTTCATCTACATTTTCCATGCATGCTGGGCTGACTGTCTCTTTTCCCAGATAACCTCCCAACGATAGCTTTTGAAATAATCTTCCTATAAATAGTTTCTCTTTATTCAAGCCCTTCTGTCTAACTCTTCATTTCCAGACTAAAGTTACCAACCTCTCTAACATTTTTTAACCCAAACAGGTGATTGTTCTCATTAACAGATTTTTCGATCTTGTTCTATCATTGATTTTTTCCATGCCAGCAAATTTTTGAAAAATAGTCTATGTAAATTTCTTCAGAGCCATTCCATATTAATTCCTCATAGGACCACAATTGGCTGGTAGCTTTTTCTCTTTTATGAAACTCCACTTTAGAGGTATCAGGAATCTTCTAACTCCCTCTAATGCTTCTCTCTGTAGCATTTGATTTACCTTTTTTTAGTAAACCTGCTCTCTTCTGAATTTTGACACTCCATATCCTTCAGATAATGCTTCTGCTTATATTTCTATTCCAAGTCTCCTCTTTAGTAGCTACATATCTAACTTTAGGTGGGTCTGTTCTCCATGTCTGTCCTTAACTATACCCTCCCACTCCACACCTCTCTTTGGCACCTCATCTTATTCCTTGACTTCAGTTACTAGGGCAACATGGTGACCCATATTGCAATAGAACTCTAAGAGTTTTTGAAACCTTAATGTTTTAAATTGAGAAAAACAGACATTTGAAAAATTATATATATATATATATATATATATATATATATATATATGTAGAGTTCATTTGTTTGTTTTATTCTACAGAGACTTTATTTTACCTTCAGGGGTAGACTGTTCTTTTGTTCTATAAAATTTCTTCTAAAAAGACCTTATAGTTAGACAAAAATAAAGTGAAGATCCAATGTGACTGCAAGAAGGTAAACATCTCTGAACAGCAATGTACATGGGTGTCTTCAGTGTGAGCAAAGACGCATCACTGCAAGTTCTGTGTCCTTTAGAAAAATGTCAATGTTTTTTCTAAATATACACTTACACTGCATAGTCTTTGAGCATAGGTACTGATCCTGGGAGATGAATGCATACTTAACATTATTTCTTTATAGTCCCCTTACTTCCTCTTGGCCTTGGAGCTTGAGATCCTGAACACAGGAAAACATGTTCAAAGTCACTTCCATAGGGGATAGTAAGCTAGCATCTGTGGGGTGAGCCTAGACCTTAGAGGATGAAGAACAATGCCTCTTAGGGGACCTCTATGTTACTGGTTCCGAGACATCCAATAGTAAAGTCTTATAGCAGTTACAGCTGATTCTAGCTTCAGTTTAGGAACTAGACTAAGCGACTGCACTCTCTAGGGAGCAGTAACCACCTGTACATTCTGGACTTGGGGATATAGGTGAACTGCAGAGAAACAATTCTGCAGTTTGAAGCCTGACATTGGCTGCAAGAAAGACAGCCCATCACTTTGACAAATTGATAAAATAAGTATTTGCTGGGCACTCTCAAAATTTTAGGATGGTGAACATACCAAAGTAGCAAAGGAGCTCTGATTATTGAAATCAAAATAAAGCTTAAGGAAATCTAAGCTCCTTAAGTTATAATTCCCCAAATTATACCTATAACTGGCACTATATTTCTGAGCTCCTTATGTATCTAGCATGTTTCAGATATTTTTAGTTTATTATTCCTTTTGTAGAAATCATGTCTTTAAGAATGGACACAGGGATCTTTGCCAGAGAAGAAAACGCATTAATATTAAGCAATGCCTGCAATACCAACCATGTCTATTTTGGAATCCTCTCATTATGAGTTATTGGTGCTTAGTATTTCCCCCTGTAATGTATGCTGGCTCTCTCAAGCTCAGAACTTCACTGTTTCTTATTTGCAGTATTTATTCTTGTGTCTAGGTTTATCTCCATGGCTCCTGACCCATTCCCGGGTCAAGTTATTTGCACAGTTGTACTCCTGATTCTTATGACCAGTGTCCCTGATATTCATTTCAGGGGCTCAAAAATATTTGTTTATGAATGAATGATACTTGTAAATTCTTGTACTTGATGATTCAAGGGACTTAACTCTGAGGTGCCCTGGACTTCACTCAGTTTCTACTAGACACATCTTGAAGTACTGATTGGCATCCATGTATTCTTGCTCTGGGTAATCTCAAAATAAGGGATACTGATATAAAAGGCAATTGAGAATGTTTCTATCTAGACATGTATCCTATTAAGATCCTTTCCCATCAGTTTGCACTTTGCTTTTATTTCATGGTAAGTAGAGTATTTCAGAATCAAAAACTGTCTTCATTTTTTAGGACCAAAAATTGCTCTGAGGAAACTGACATCTTTACTAGGAGGTATAATTATTTATCTTAACATTGTATGTATCCCATAAGTATCTGCATTTTATCAGTACAACAAAAATGATGATTATCATTTAACTTTTTCTTTTTCAGTACAGTATCTCATATTAATTGTGATTACTCTTACTTTACAGGTGATAAAGATAGGAAATAGAGAAATAAAGTAAGTTTTTTTATTAGTTAAGTAACTTTTTAAAAGAGAATTTTGAGTGGAGGATTCAGATTTTGAACTATCAACTCTAATTAATACAGAGTCTGTGCTCTAACCATTGGAATCATAAGATTTGGATTATTCACATTAATAAAATGAAGCTATAAATTGCATCATTAGGCTGTATTAGTGTGCACGAATATCCATCTCTGAAAGTACACCTCCTGGTCAGCTGCACACCCTTATGAATAGTAAATAATTCAGAAGGCCAATGATGCTGCTATGCCTGGCAGTATCCCAATCCTAAAAAGGACAATAAAGCAGACTTTTTAAAGTCACATGTTTCTGGATTACCACTGTGCAACTTTGAAAAACAATAATCTCTAGGGACACATCTAAAAGCAGGACTCATAAAACATTGGCATTTGCATTTGAAAATGTCTTGTTAAAAAAACAACAAACAGTCATATCCCTTAGAGAATTGTGCTATAATCCTTCAAAGAAGGTCAGAATTCAAATTCTATCAGAAACTTTGTTTTTATTTTTCTCACTTAAATCATTTTTTAAGAGATTCTTTTTGATTTGTTTTCTTAACTGAAATCCTGCAGTCACTAAGGCTTAGTAGGAAAAGGCTGTGTGTGTTGTGTGTGTGTAAGAGAGAAACCATAATTTCTGTTTTTTCCTCCTTTGTTATGTGGGGACCCTTTTTCCAGTCTACAGGTTAAATTCATTCCAGTTGAGAATAATAGAGAAGACATGAAAATAAAGGGTCAAGGAAATTATGAGTAACATCAGATTTTTCTGTTTTATTTACACATAAAATGTTTAGAAGAATCATGTTTATATACATTCAGTGAAAGTTAACCAAAACAACAACAACAAAAAACCCCACAAACAATTCTGCACAGAGTTTATAATCTAAAAGCATGTCTACGTTTTTTTTTCCCCTTTTTTAATTTGTGACTCCAACCCATTTGTGATCTCCATCCTGAGGACAAATAAAGAACCACTTGTGCAACATCACCCACACCACACCCCTTATTGTCAGTTATTGGTGAACAATTCTTACTGTGTGATAGAAAAAAAGTTAAATAAATGATATAAGATCACCAACTTTCCTTGTTTAAAGAGAAGAAAATACAAAATGAATGACCATGCATATTGTATGTTACCTTCTGTGAAAGTTGGAGATAAAATAGGAAATAAAAACTTGTAATAAATCATTGGAAATATACATAAGAGATTTATGAGTTGAAGGATTCATGTAGATTGGGATAGGGTGGAGGTAAAGCTTTCAAGAGGTACCTTTTTAAATTATTTTGATTTTGAAATATTTGGATTTATTACCTATGAAAGAACACTGTATAATTGTCATCAACAGTGCAACGGAAGGAGTTTGAAGGAATTACGCAAAGAAGCCAGAATGACAAAGACAATTATGAGATATTTACATAGTGGGAAATTTGACAAAGTAAAACACTTAGAAAAACTATGGGTCATCAATAAATGAAGTGAGGTTTCTAAGGCCAAAGGAGAAGGAGGAAAGAGTCGAGTGGATAAAAGGGAAGGTGGTGGGGGAAAAAAAGAGCTGCTGAGAGCAGGTAATAGAGGGCCAAATAGGGACTCCTCATAGCACCCAGCTGATAGATTCATTCAAACAAGTACTTCGTTAAACCCTCAAGGTACTTAATCACTACGAGGTGCTGAATAGGATACAAAGTAAAGTAAGAGAATTTGTCCTCCAGCACTTTATAACCCAGCCAAGAAAAAAAAGGAGAAAAAGGAACAAAACTTTGTCTCATGCTATCATGTGACAGGCCCTGAAATGGGCAGAGGGACATAAGTCACATCAGTTCATCCACATAACTAACTCAGGTATGGATGGGGGAAGTGAAGACGTCTCAGTAAAAGTTCAACACAGGTGTTCCGTGAAAGAAAAAGGGTCATGGCTTGTAAGGGAGAAAAAAAGGTGCTAAAAAAAATAACCATGTATGTGTGTGAGTGCGCGTGTGTGTGTTTGTTCCTGTGTGCCTGTGTAAATCCAGTACAGGAGGATATATGAAAATGTTAATTCCATATCTGGCTTAACATTTCTCACCTCCTGCCAACTCAGACCCGCTCATAGACGCCTGCAGAATGAAAGAGGCATGATGGATGTCCTCTGTAGGGTAAATGGAAGTGATCAGGTTTCTCCCCCCTCCCGCAGTTAGCATCAATAATTGACACTTGTGGGCTTAACATGTGCCTGATAACGGCACCTAGAGTATAGTGTGGGCATCTGTAAGTGTGCACATCTGAGCCAAGACTGAGCATATAAGGGTGGCAGCAGAGAACAGTGTGGCGGCAGAGGACCGTGCAGCAGAGAGCCGTGGAGACCAGCAGAGAGCCCAAGAGAGAAGGCCAGAGAGTCCAGAATGAGTGACGATTCGCCTGGGGCAAAGAGGCCTGCCAGCCTCCTGGCCCCTAGGCCCCCCTGCCTGCCCTCTACCTGGCTGCTGCACTACAAATGGTATAGAAAGATCATTAAAAGCTTGACAAAGACACTGAGGGCTCCAGGACTCCTCCTTTACTCATCTGCCTGGATCATAGAAAACCTGCTCTGTGCCTTCCTGGCACTACATCCTCACTCTCCCTGTTTCATCCCCTGTTCCATTCTGCTGTTTTCATTGTTCAGTAATGTTTCCATGGGAGGTGGAAGATAATAAAGGCCGAAAGGTCTTACTAGCCTGGTATTTTTCGCTGTCATTTTCATGACAAATACGCAGATGCTAGGTTTTTTGTTGCTGTTGTTGTTCTCCTTGGGAGCTTTTATGCATCCTTCAGCAACAATTTACTACACCCAGAGGGCACCTCAAGCATTAAACATTCTCTAATGATAGGGCTGAAATTTTATCATTCTTCTCTTGGCTCTGATATCAACAATTAGCTCCTGCAGCCTGTTTTTCACCTTCTGAAGCCAGAATTCTTTGGTTAATCCCATCAGGAGACCTCTACTTCACTTGCCTCATGACTTTGAAAAAACTCAGCACCTGTTCTATGCTACACTCTGGAAGTGCATGTTTCTCCCTCCAGAGGCCTTTGAATCTCTGCATTCACAGGCAATCTTAATCAGTCAGCCATCTTTATCTTTTTTGATAGGAGATTCAGGAACCAGTCTCAGTGCTCTTTAAATGCCAGGAGACACTGTTTACATCTTCCAAGGACTGTCAGATCAGACCCCACTGAGTCTTCTATTAGCACCAGGTTTCTCAGGTGACCTGATATCAGGTCAGAGGTAAGCACCCCCTTAAAGAGGAAAGAGATGGTGCAGTTTTCCCCTTAGAGCGGGTTTCTTAATCTCCACATTACTGATCTTTGAGGCAGGATCATTCTTTGTTGTGAAGATTTGCCTGTGCATTGCAGGACATTTAGCAGCATGACAACACTCCATCCAGCAGATAACAGCAGCACACACCCTTAACTGAAGCCCAGATAGCTCCAGTCACTGCTAAATGACCCCTAGAAGAAAAATCACCTGGATAAGAGTAACAGCTCCAGGCAACATCCCTTGCTTCCTAATCTCCTTATGACTCCACTAATTAAGAGGTTAGATTTAGATGATCAAAAACACATCTGGAGCTGCCCCTTCACAAGTCCTGCACAAAGGGACTGATAGATACTTTTCATGAGAATGTGTGGTCATAAGACACCTATTTTCTCAGAAGGAACTCTGAAATCTGCGACAATCGGAACATCATTCTATCTGTGAAAACCAGTATAAGCCTACATCTGTCTCTGACATTTAAAAATCTGGGTCTAAGGAAAGGGTAGGAAGAGACTTTCATTTTCCATTTTATGACTTTATTGCTTGACTATTTTTGATATCAAGGCATTTGAATTAAAATGTGTACTTTTAAAATAAACGATAGTCCAATTAAGTAGCTACATGAAAAAGCACCTTTTAAATTTTAACAAGATTTTTACTTTGGTTTCATAAGCAAGATATACTAAATACATGTATGAGATTATTTAAAAAAAAACAGTCAGGAAAGAGGAACAAAGGGACAAGAGGCAAAGACAAAAAAAAGAGGAGGTAAAACTTACCTTGTCTCATCGATATAAACGGCTTCCAACACAGATGCTGCATATTCAATGTTCTTCTTTAAGTCCACGACATTTACATCACCTTTTTCCAGCTGCTTCACTAAGCATCTTAGTCTATTCCAAATAGTAGCAAAAGAGAAATAGAGATTTATTGTGACTATGTGTAAAAGTAATATTATATGAAGAAATCAAGGAAAAAAATTAACATATCTTTCTAGGTCATCAAATAGAAATATTTTTTAGACTTATTATAATTAAGTCTTCATCACCTAAGCAACTATTTGAAATTATATTCACCTCTCAATAGTGATAGAATTATGGGTCGCCAGCTTGGGCACCATATTTCAAGAATAGTCTTCCTGAAAATTCAAAACAATATAAACATATTTATAAAAGCATATTTTAACACTAGAATTTATTCAATGGTTGTTCTGCTTCAGAGTTGGCACTAAGAGAACATTTAAAGGGTGTTCTTTTGACTGCAACTACATCAACTATTCACTATATATATGTCAATAGAAATGAAAATGAAACACAGAATTTCCAAGGCACTATATCAAGATTAAGAAAAAAATATTTGGGAAGATGGGAGCAAAAGAGGAAGAGGTTCAATGGACTATGGTGGGAGATTATTGGTGATTTTGAGTGGGCATAGACTAAGAACATATGTTTGAAGATACTGCCTATAGTAGGTGGAAAAGGAACGTGTGTCCCTCACTCTCTACATACCACAGATCAGTAAGATGCAGAAAATTTGTCTATTTTTCTACCTTAGCAGCAGAATTTCTTTTCACTCCCGAACAAAGGCTATTTCAGAAGGAATGAAGTAATTCTACCTTACTCACTATTTTATAGATGATGTAGCAGATTCCTTGAAAATTTATTTTGGATAATTTTTAATATCAAGGATTAGGGTAAAAGACATGTTAAAAATTTTGGCAAGGGTATTTGACATTCCTTCATCCATAGAAACACTATTTCTCCAAGGAAAAAAAAACAAACCCAGATTAAAACTTCTGTTCACGAAGCTACAAATGCTGTTTTGTACATATACTTTTGATTGATAAAAGCATTAGCAGACAACAATATCGCAAAATATAATTTATCTACTAGTAAATATGCTGTTAATATATAAACAGGTAAGTAAAACAAAAACAACAACAAAGTCAGTTTACTTAAAAAGAAAAAAATTAAGCCTGGCTTTGAGGTTTGCCTAAAATCAGAATGTGATGAAAATGGAGCAACCTATAGAATGTTTTCAGATTATTTAAAAGCTTATTATCAAACACATTATACTTACTAAAACGTCTTCCTGTGTGACAATAAAAGAGTTTCACAGCTTGTAGGGTAAGGTAAAAAAGCATCAGGCTTTTCTGCCCTCCTGCCATTAGGATTGATGATGGAACCCTGTGGTCCTGAATGCATGCCTGATGGCGGGCACCTGGAATAGGGTCTGGGCATATGTAGATGGGATTCACCTGGGCTCATACTGGGCTTATAAGGGTGGCATCACGGGATGCCAGCAGAAGCAGAGAAGCAGAGAGAATAAGAGTGACAGAGAGAGCAAAAGAGAAGCAGAGATCACCAGAGAATGCCAGAGGGCCCAGAAAGAGTGAAGACTTGCTGGGAGCTGGGAGGTCTGCCAGCCTCCCATCCCCCCAGCACCTCTGCCTGCTGCTTACCCTGTAAAAACCCATTAAAAGCCTGAAAATCCCTGAGTGCTCCAGGACTCTCTCCTCCTTCACCCCAGCTGTTCGGATCATAGAAAATCTACCCTGTGTCATCCTGCCCCTACACAGTTCTGCACAGACTTAAAAATACACCATTCAAGTATACTACTTGTGAAAATTACTTGAGTTGCATGATATGGTTTTAAAAACAATAAGCACATCAAGATGGTTGCTTCCCCTACTTTAGAAATAACTGAAACTTATTTTATTTGTTACCAATTTTTCCCACTAAAAAAACCCTACATTTTCCAGGCTCACTTAAAAAATTAGCTATAGTCTTCTGACTAAATTCTGGCCAATAAAAATAAGTTGAAGTTGTTGAGTAAGATTTTTCTAAACAATTATTTTGAAGAGGGCTAACTCAGTTGGAAATTCTCTTTTATCTCTTGCCATTCCTACTGCCTGGAATGCAGTGGAGCTGTCTGAAGGCGCAGCTGTCATCCTGGAACTTAAAGTGATGTGGCACTAGAATGCCACCCATGAAGAGTGACATAGAAGGAAGATGAAGTAGCCTGGATCCTAGACAGTGACTCCACCTGTCTGAAATCACCCGCTTCTGGATTTACTGCATATGCAAATGCAAAAATTTTGTGTTTAAGCAACTATTATTTTGAGATTTTTTTTTAATCCGCGGCTGACCCCAGTCCTAACTGATAAGTCAAATGAATGAGAAATAACTCAATGTAAATAACTCCAGAATGGAGACATCCCCAAAATGAGAGAGGACTCCCTGAGGAGTCTACAGGTACACTTTCTAATTCATGGCAGCCTACAGGTGTTACCAGGGAAGTTATTCCTTCATAGATCACACCTGAAGAAACTTGGATCTCAAGAGGCTCTAATATTTTACAACAAATATTATTATATAAGTTGAAAATCTGATGAAATTTACCAAGTTATTAAAAATGATAAATGATTTTAACAAGTTTGCAATATAGAAAACCAGATATACAATCAATATCATTTCTATGTAATAGTAATGACAATCTGATATTGAGATAAAAGTAATATCTTTTACAATAGCTGTATCCTTTACTATAAAATTTTCATCAAAAGTATGAAAATTTTAGATATAAATCTGACAAAATATGGACAAGCTCGATACTTTGAAAACTGTAAAGTATTGCTGACAGATCAACAGCATATCTAAATAAATGGAGAGAAATATCTTGTTGATGGATTGAAAGACAATATTGTTAATGCATCAGTTCTCCCCAAATTCATCTACAAAATTCAATCAATTCCAGTGAATATCTCAGTAGGTTTATTTTTTGTTGTATTTATTGACATGTTAAATCTAAAGTTCATGCAGAAATGCAAAGGACCTAGAATGGTCAAAACAAATTTAACAAAAGAATACAGCTGGAGGATTTATACTACCAGATTTCAAGACTTATTTTAAAGATACCATAATTGGTACAGTATAAATAACTTAATATACTACAGTGCATTATTAGCATGAAGATAGGTCATTGATAGATCAATAACAGAGAATATGACATCTAGAAAGAGGTGTGCAAATATATAGTTAATTTATATTTTTGAAAAAGGTGTCAAGATAATTTAGTTGAAAAAAAACAGCCTTACAACAAATATTTCTGGATCAGTGAAAACATCGATATGTAAAAGGAACTTGGATACCTACATGGATCACAGATAAATATATATCCTAAAATTGTAAACATAGAAGAAAGGATAGAACATATTTGTCATCTTTAGTCAACCAAAAATGCTATAAAAATAATAAGTTGAACTTGATCAATATTAACTTCCATTCTTTAAAGAATTCAAATGCTGGTAGGAAATATTTGCCAATATAAATCTGATAAAGGATTTGTATCCCAAAACACATACAGAATTTGCAAAACTCCATAATACCAGGACAAATAATGCAGCACAAAATCTACAAAAGATTCATGACAAACATGAAAAATGCTCAGTCATTAGTCATTAGAAAAATTCAAATTATATAATTGAACATCAGTAGATTGGCTAAAATTAAAACAGTTGATCACACCAAATATTGGCAAAGATATGAAGCAACTGAAACTATAGTACACTGTTGTTAGGAATGTAAACAGGTACAATCACTTTGGAAAATAGTTTCTTAAAAAATTAACCATGTATCTACCATATGATTCAACCATTCTATTTTTGGTGGAGAGAAGGGAAATAGATTTCCATATTAAGATTGTATGTGAATGGGCTTTTTTTTTTTGCAATAGCCTAAAACTAATAACAACCCAAATAGTCATAAAAAGGTAAGTGTGAAAACCAACTGAGTATAACTTCCAAAGACCTTATACTCAGCAATAAAATGAATAAACTATTGATACACAAAATGACATGACTAAATCTCAAATAGTGATGCTGATTGTGGGAAAACTGAAGTGACTCCATCTTGTCTTGATACTGTCTTAATCCTGTGACCAGTAATTGCCCTCCCCTGGGAAGACAATTTCCCTGCTGTTTCTTTCATGTGCATTAAATTGTACTCATGATCTGCACACAACTCTATTAATCTTAGTAGAACAAAAATGCCTGTGACATTTCCCCCTTGACACTTGGCATCACTGGTCTTACACAAGAAAGCTCCCATGTAATAAGTAGGATATAAAAAGACATCGGTGAGAAGAGAGCTGTGGCTCACACATGGAACCAATGTTGTGTCTACAAGTTCCGGTTCAAGGACATCTGTGTGAAAGTTGCCCTGAATAAACTTTAAGTGTGATTAATGGATGGGCCTGCTTGGTTCTTTGATTTAAATTACCTTCTCTGTTGGGGGGATATCTAGTCATTCCTTTAGCCATACTGTTACAGGGCAGGGAGTTTGGGTACCACATTGCTACTATATAATGAATGAACTTAGAGCACATTCTGTATAATTCCATTTATATGAAATTCAAGAAAATGCAAAGTATGCTTATAGTGTCAGGAAACAGACCAGTGGTTGCCCTGGGAATGGAGGAGTTAAGGATCATGGAGGAGAAGGAGTGATGACAAGTGACTCCAGGAAGCTTTTGAGGAAATATTGATTTTCTTAATTGTGGTGATATTCTTATTGATGTATACAAATGCCCTCATTTATCAAATTATAAATTACAAGGTAAAATATAATCAGAAATTTGAGATGGAAAATTGATACATGCCAAAATAGATGCTTCTGTTACATATTTTTTATTTTTTAAGAGTTTTATTAAAATACTTGAAATTCTAATATATGCTATCAAAGCTAGGGGAAAAAAAGTCTAAAGCAACATTAACTCTTAATGTCATTTTCTCAGAGAATGAGAGTAAGCTTTGAAAATTAAAAAGATTAATAGAAAAAAAGACAGTAATCTTTGATAACTCACAACTTTTAAAATAAGACTAAATATTACATACTGAATACACTTTGATACGTTTAGCATTTTGGGTGGACTTCTTTTCTTATCTTTTGATGATCAGAACACTTAAAGAAGACAAAAATGAAAATAGAAACATCATCTTTGAAAATAATTGATTGTGTCTGATTCAATCAAGCAGTGACAAAGGAGAAACAATTTCTACCTTTGAACAAAGAGTACTGAACTATGTAGAGAATGATTGAATATTTTTTATTCAAATATAGAACTGCCAGTTTTGAAATGAAAAAAAAAGCACAATATAAAATGAAGTACTTTTCATAATCAAGTATACTTCAAGTATTCTTAAGCTCAAATACTCTAAAATTCTATGATACTGCTACATGACCCATATTGCAAGAAAACTAGCTATACAACTAAATATATTCTCAGAATCTCTAATGCTATAGAGCATGAATAATAAATAAATTAATATGTGAAATTCTAAAAAATCATTTGATAATCATTATATTCCTAATAATGCCCTCATAAAATGTGGCCATGCACAGGAGTGTACAAAAACACACAAATATGGACTGTCAGAACAAAGTAACTGTCTCATTTTCTGTAAACTGCTTCACTCTGAAGCAGGCCATTATATAATGCAATTGTCATACTTACTTTGCAGTTCAATGCTTAGGCAACTAAATCCTTACCTTAGTCTATGAAGCAAGGTTTATAAATTTAAAGTCTTTTAGAAACATTTTTGTTTCACATAAGCAAATGTTACCTTTATAAGATAGATAATTTCCAGAACAATTGGTATTTAAAAAAATGGCATCAATAGTATGGCAAGTAATATTATCCTTTAAAATTTGTTTAGATTTTATATTTAAAGAGCAAAATAATCCTGCTGAGGTGGAGAATATGTGATGGAAAACTATTTTTTAGGTACAACAACGTATACAATTATGTCCTTCTCCCAAAATCACAATTTAGGTAAACTATCTATCAACTTACTTCAAGAAATATTAACTTTTTATCATAAAAATAGTCATTACATAATTCTCTACATGTTGAAGAATTCCTCTGAAGTACAAAGATATAAACACTCATATAGTTAGAAATTCTTTCAAGATCATTTTTTTTTGTCTCCATGGAGACAAAAAAAAAAAAAAAAACAACCCAGTAAGACCATATTCAACATAAAGAGGGAGCAACTCATTTGTACCTGTTTACTGTTACTCCTCTGAAACACTTTAGGCTATTCAGGTTCAAGGATTTTCATTCAAGTGTTATATATTTAAGGAAATATGTATACTTAAATACATGTATATTTCATCTACATGATAGATTTGAATATACTTATAATTATAAAACACAAAATTTATTTGTAAATATTATTTTGTATATAAAATATGTATTTAAAGAGTTGAATATATTAAACATATAAAGATACTTGCATTTACATATATTTCATAAATATTTTTCATATATATAAATGAAGAAATATTAGTGACCTTCACCTGGTGTACAGCATTTATTTAAACCAGGAAAGACAGGTTAGGAATTGGATATACATACAGATGACAGAAGACACTGAAGAACAATTTAACATCTTATGTCAATCTCTTGGACCTTGAAAAATTCATTTAGCACTGAGCTCAGGTAGTCATTCTCTGTTAAATGCCTTTCACTAGTCCCTCCAGATTCACTCTACTGAAGTACTTTTCATAATCAAGTGTACTTCAAGTATTCTGAAGCTCAAATACTCTAAAGTTCTATTCCTTGCCCTATGATGGGAACTTTAGAAATTACATTAGGTGCCTAGTTGGTTTTACAAAAGAGAAACCAGTGTATTATTATTCTCTTCTCCCTCAAGGATCACCACCGGTCAGGTACCCTGATACTCTCAATCTCTCCCTCTTCCTCTCTCTCCAACCCAATTTTGTCTTTCTCATCAGGGATAACTCATCCCTGGACTCCTATTTATATATCATGGTTTCCAACATTTACCCCATAGTTATAAATAATACTATCTATTAATTATTCATCAATTACCAATTTTGACTCTGCCATCTACTGAAACTCCTACAATGTTATTCCCTCTATTGACTCTACCTTCTACTGAAACTCCTACAATGCTATTCCCTCATACTAGAGACCTTCACTACAGTCTTATCCACAGATAGGCCTTTAGTGGCAGTGGGGATTCACTCTACTTACAGTCACCTTTTCTCTGGTGTTCATGAAGAATAACAGCAAAACAGTG